TCCCTAATTTAGAAAACTGCATTTTCAAGGTTCGTTCTTGAATCAAAACCGGACCAGATCTGAAACCAAAAGGGAAGAGAGGGATATACCTAATACGAAGTAACAGTAACTCCCAACGTAAGTGTTCACGCCCAAAGAAAAGACTAAAACCCGCCTCCACTGAAGATGACACAGTGTATGGTGAAGCAGGATCAGCAGGATGGTTCTTCAGCAAGAACCTGAATTCTTCAGTAAGAATCGAACAAGGGCAGGTGGGCACGACTTTAGATTGTTTCTTCTAGCAAGAAACAATATCAAGAACCTTTCTTGATCAGCTCCACAGGTGGAAATCGAACTGGGTAGGGGCGGCAAGAACTGGGGAAGAATTCAGCAGGTTGCTGAGAGTGTGTAAACTGAGGAATTCACCCCTTATTTATAACCTTTTTTGGATCAGCCTCCTAATCCAATTTGGAGAGAGTTTTTTGATCCAAATCTGATGTTTGGATCTGGACTCTTAAATGGATAAGACTTATCTTATCCTTCAGCTAATCCTGATCAAGGTGTCATCAGCATATTGGAGATGAAAGATAATTATCCTCTCATTTCCAAATTCCAATCTTAAAACCACCAACAGCCCCTTAWTCACTCCTCTGTCCACCAACTTACTTAAAACCTCCAACACTAAGACAAAAAGCATAGGAGAAAGGGGATCCCCTTGTTCAATCCCCTTGAATTGTGAAAGAATTTTATTGATACCCCATTCACCAAAATTGAGGACACCAATGAAATGCACACAAACATCCAGCTCTTCCATTTCTCCCCGTAGCCCATCCTCCTTAAAACTTCTTCCAAGGATCCCCATTCTACATGATCATATGCCTTTTCCAAATCAGTTTTGCAAATCACTGCACCTTCCCCACTTCTAATTCTTGTGTCCACACACTCACTAGCGATCAAGACCCCATCCAAAATTTGATGCCCTTGAACAAATGCCAGTTGAGTAGGACCCACCACCAAATGAAGCACCTCTTTCAGCCTTGCTAATTGCACCTTGGCAATAATTTTATATGGGCTCGAAATAAGGTTTATAGGCCTAAAATCCCTTACCTTGGCTGCACTAGCAACTTTGAGAATAAGGGAAATGAAGGTTGCCCCAACTTTTCAAGCTTCTTCTCCATCCATAACTCCCTAAACATCTCCAACAACTTTTTTATGATGTTCCAGAACATATTATAAAATGCAATATTGAAGCAATTCGGCCCAAGCACCTTCTCCCCCTTCATTTTCTTAACCACATTCCACCCCTCTTCCTCATCATACTCTCTCTCTCCAACCTGACCTTCAACTCCCCATCCAATTGCAGAGAATCCTGCTCCCCCAAGTGACAAATTCTTCTAGGTAAAGCTTTATAAAGGTTCCCATAAAACTTTCAAATCTCTTTCGCTAATTCCTTTTGATAATCAATAACCCTACCCCCTTCTTCCAGCCTCAAAATTGTATTTCTTTTCTTCTTCTTCCTCTCACCAATAGCTTGAAAAAATGCAGTATTTTTATCCCCCTCTTTCAGCCACTGCACCCTAGCCTTTTGCCTCCAAGAGACCTCAAAATGAATCAGCCTCTCCACCTCCTCTCTCAGCTTTCCTCTTTCCACTTTACCTTCCCTAGATAAGTTATCTTCTTCTTCCAGCCTGTCTAAACACGCCATTCTCTCCAACACCTCCTTTTTTCTCATCTCCACATTCTCAAACTCCGATCTGCTCCAAACCCTCAAATCTTCTTTTAATTTTTGCAATTTTTTCATCATAGTGAAGYCAGTGGAACCCTGAAATTGATAAGAAGACCATTTTTGCTCCACGAATTCTAAAAGTTAGGGTGCTCCATCCACATATTCTCAAATCTGAATGGTTTTGGGTCTCTTATTCTTATCAAATCCCTCAGCAAGACTGTCTTATGATTAGAGATTGAGAACACACGTGTTTCTTGGACCAAATTCTAAAGCATCAACTCCTATTTCCCATTAACAAGAAATCTATCCAGCCTCCTCAGAATAGGGGAATCCTGCCCCTTTTGTCAACCAAGTAGGTTTGTACAAGAGAGAAGAAGACAGATTTCTGGGGTTAAAGAACTGAATAGTTCGGCCCAACCCCAAGAGCCTCAATATAAAGATTAGTAAAATAATAATATTTACAGAAAATCCCTTGAAGGGCTAAAGAGAATAACAAGAAACTACAAGATACAATACAACAAAGACTATAGTAATATGGTACATTAGTGAGACTCTTCACACTCCCACTCAAACTGATGCAAAGGCATGAGCATCGGTTTGCTTACAAGTAATAAGTGTTTGCAACTTGCATTTTGGAGGCAATATGAGGGAGAGAGATAGAGCCCACAAGAAGCAGGTCACAAATAAAGTGGCAGTCCACCTTAATATGCTTCGTCCTTTCATGAAAGACAGGATTAGAGGCAATCGTAATAACACTAGTATTGTCTGCATACAAAGGTATGGGTGTAGGAGAGGTGTGGCCCAATTATTGAAATAATGATTGAAGCCAAACAACTTCACTACAAACAAATGAAATTGCCTTGTACTCTGCTTCCGTAGAGGACTTGGAAACAGTTTGTTGTTTCTTGCATTTCCATGAGATTAGAGAGTCACCCATGAAGACACACCACCCAGTAGTGGAACAACGTGTGTTGGGGCATCCAGCCCAATCTGCATCAGCATAGGCATATCTGAGGAGCCAGTCATGTGGTCTGAAGCTCCAGAATCCATTACCCAAGGTGAAGGTAAAGAACTAGAAGCAAGACAAGCAATACCTGACTTCACAAGTGTAGCAGTGGCAGAACTAGAAGAGGTGGACTGGCAAAGCTTTTCATACTCCTCATGTGAGATAGAAATTGTCTTTATCCTTATCAATATTTGAAGTAGGAGCATCTTTAGTCACACTAAGACTCCCAAAATCATCTTCCACCCATGCTTGGTTAGCCCAAGAAGATGGAGGGCCATGGAGATCATAACAAAAGTTGACTGTGTGACCTTCTCATCCACAATGTTAGCACTCACGGGCTGAATCACGGCCACTACCACTACAACCACTACCACCCCTTGCACCACCAAACTCTCTACCACCTCCTCATGCACCTCTGGGCCCACGGCCAAAACCTCTCACATTTCCTCTACCTCTTCCACGCATATGTCTACTAGGAAAACCTCCTCTGGAAAGCTGCTCTCTCTAAAGGTGGGGGATGATCACTATGTGGATTTGAGGCTCTTCTTATGCAGGAGAAAATCTTAGACAATGATGGAAGATCACTGCTCCCTAAGATTTGGGCTCGCACTAGTTCAAATTCAGACCTCAAACCAGATAAAAATCTTGCTACATCTAGATGTTCTCATTGTTCTTGTTGAGTCTTCAAATCAGTGGATAGGGGTTGATAAACATTGAGTTCATTCCTTAAGCTTTTTAGAGAAGCATAGTATTCTTTAACACTTTTATCCCCTTGTTGAAGAGAAAAATAGTCTTGGTACAACTGGTAAATTCTTGTGACATTGTCTTGTCCAGAGTACAATTGCTTGGCATGGTCCCAGATTTCCTTGGTTGTGTCTAGAAACATAAGATTTACACTAATGTAATTCTCCATACTATTCCAAAGTGATGTCATAATTTGGGCATTCTCTTGTACCCATTCATTGTACCCTTTTGATTCACTTTTCAATGGACCCTCCTTGCACCATAGTTAATTGAGAAGTCATGAAATCTGATTGCACAACAACCTAGTGCTACCATTTGATGAAGCCATGAGTGAGAGATCACTGATTTTTCACCTAGGCAAACTGTCAAACAGCTGGTATGCAACTACTGTAACACACCTTTTTCTTTAGGAAAAACACCAAGGATCATTAGACCTCTACTTTAAAAACACTTGGGAAAGATTGCTTACTTATCACAAGGTGCCACCACAACACAAACCACTAGAAAATCACCATACATTGAGGAGCACCTACCTCACAACTTGAAACATCACAAAGCTGCCCTCTTCGAACTACTGAAAAGTGGGCTTCTAGAAAAACACCACCAACTCACACAACACTGCAAGTTGAGGCATTAAAGCCTCTTTTCCGAGTGGGTGGTCTGTCCTCTCAAGTCCTCTTCCTTTCCAACAAAGAATAGAGAATATTCTCTATTCCTAGGGCACAAAAAGTTGAGACGTGAACAGTGCCGCGAACAATACAGTCGACCTCAAGGCTCTGATACCATGTTCCAACTTTAATAAAGTAAGAAAAAAGTGAAGAAAAGGATAGAAGAAAGAAAGAGAAGAAGATAGGAAGAGAAAGGGAAGGGAAAGAGAAGAAAAGGAGAAGAAAAGAGGGAAGACTAGAAAGGAGAAATCTGTTCACCTTTCCTTACTGTCGACCCAGGTTGTATTAACATTCTACTAAGGCTGAAATGACTACAATACCCTTAGGAAAATTACGGCAGTTATAAGAGAGAAAGAACAACATGAAAAAGACAATACTGCCCCTGTTAATTGCTTCTAACAATTCTGACACATAAAATAGCATTCTATATTTTTGCATATTTCACAATGTTTTCACCATGTCTATAATTTTTACAATATGTCCATACAACGTTTCTGACATTTCCAACATATTTCCCATATTTAGATGACTGATATTTCCACTGGCACTGGCATTTTGAACCTTGGGTCTATGTAGACAATTAAGAATATAAATTGTTTGATTTTCTTTAGATATTTCTGAGAGATTTTAAACATCATTAATCTCCTCATATTTGGGACATATCTGCAGTAACAAAAGTCAGCAGAAACCACAAATTGTCCTCTGTTAATTGTCTGAAGTGTTTATTTCCAGGTTGCCTGTTTTTCCCTGTTTGAAGTGTTTATTTCCTAATTGTATTTTTGACATTGCCCCACAAATTGCCCTCTGTTAGAAACCCACCTTTACTTGATGCTTGCCTAGCATTTTCTAAATGAGGTATTTGCTTTTTGCTTTTTAGGTGAAAGAGAAGCTTGGCCATCTAAAATAGACAAGAACTTCTCATGGTTGGCTGAGTACGGGCCAAAATTTCATCTTGGAGTTGGTTGTGATTCTTGTGGGGTAATTTCTTAATGTTAATCATCTTTTTCTTATTGAGTGATGTAGGTCTTTGTTTCAAGAATATGATGCCAGGCCCTTTAATTAACCAATGTACTGATGTCAGACATAATGAGTCATGAATGCCAGTAAAGGATATGTATTGGAAATTACCAAATCCATATCCATGTTCTCAATGCTAAAGTTATGTATTCACTTAATCTGACCTTTCCAAAAAAATCTGACTTGTCTAACATAAATTAGTAACAGCTTATAAGCAAAGAAAATTTGGAATTAGAGGTTGAATACATGAAATGCCTGTTGAGAAATGGGCTGATTTATATTTCTTTTTATTACTCTTTATTGCTATTTATTGGTGCTACCCACTTTGGGGCATATCAATCTTTTCATTTAATTTTGTAAATCATTCATATATTGTGAATAGAACGGGGTGCTCAGTCCCATTCTCTCCTCTCCATCATTCACTTCTCATAATAAATCACTCGTATATCATTCATATATGGTGAATAGAATGGGGTGCTCAATCCCCATGAAAGTTTTCTCTCCTAACTGATTTTTCTTCTCATCATTCTCTCCTTCTCTCCATCATTCACTTCTCATAATAAATCACTCGTATATGTAAAGGAGGCTCTTTTTGAGGTCACTGCATGCAGTGGCAGATTATGCATATTAATATTTTGTTGAGTTGTGACCCTTGTTCCTTGAAGTAGTGAGGTTGACAGAGATTTTATATTCTGTAATGAAAGGAACTTTAGATTTGCATACCAATAGAATTGAGAAACCAGAATAGGTGTCTGAGGATGTGGTTTCCTAGTTCAGTTGAAAACATTGCTTCAACCTAGTCAGATTCAGTGTAATACTTTTGAACATGGTACAATTATCGCAACCGTTGATGCACATGTCTGTTTTATTTATTTACCTTCCTCTTACTCAAGGATGTGCATGATCCATATGTTATAGCTTTATTTTCCAACTATTTTATAAGAATGATTTGAAATACATTAATATCTTAATTTATACCTGCAGGTTCTTCCTATAATTGGAGACAGATATAGATGCAAAGATTGTGTGGAGAAAATAGGTTTTGACTTGTGTGGAGACTGTTACAATACAAGTTCCAAGCGTCCAGGCCAATTCAACCAGCAGCACAAACCAGAACACAAGTTTGAACGCATTAGGTTAAATTACAGGCTAGAAACTGAACAGTCAGATGATGGTTCTGTTGTTCCTGTTCTCTCCATACATGCTTCAGAGGAAAGTGAGAATGCTTCAAATGCTCCCAATGATAATGCCCCAGAAGTTACAGATAATGCTACACGTGTTACTGTAGATGATTCTACTGAGGATCCAGAAGGCACAGGTTCCACCATCTGAAATTGTAGCCGTTCTCCTTTCTCCTCGCCAATCCTATTGGTGGAAAAGCGGGATGGCACTTGGAGATTTTGTGTTGACTACAGAGAACTCAATAACCGGACTGTCAAGGATAAATTCCTTATTCCCATTGTGGACGAGTTGTTGGATGAACTTCATGGTGCTCAGTATTTCTCTAAACTAGACCTAAGGTCGGGATACTTTCAGGTCCAAATGGCTTCCGAAGACGTTGAGAAGACTGCCTTCAGAACTCATCATGGCCACTTTGAGTTTTTAGTTATGTCGTTCGGTCTCACAAACACCCCATCCACATTCCAGTCCTTGATAAATGAGGTATTTCAGTCCCACCTTCGCAAATTTGTTTTAGTGTTCTTTGACGACATTTTAGTCTACAGTAAAACTTGGATAGAACATGTGCATCATCTGAGGATTGTTTTTGAGCTCCTGTGCCAACACAAACTCTTCCTTAAACGGTCCAAGTGCTCCTTTGGGGAGCGCCAGGTTCTTTACTTGGGTTATGTCATTAACGGGCAAGGTGTAACGGTGGACAGTTCCAAAATTCAAGCAATCAAGGAATGGCCCAGGCCCAAATCCGCCAAGGCCCTCCGCGGTTTCCTCGGTTTGACGGGATATTACCGCAAATTTGTACAAAATTATGGCTTGCCGGCTGCCCCATTAACTAACCTACTGAAGAAGAATGCCTTTCATTGGGACGATGCAGCCGATGCGGCTTTTGCAAGTTTAAGGGATGCCCTCTCCACCACTCTAGTTCTGCAATTACCGAATTTTGATCTCGAGTTTATAGTTGAGTGCGATGCATCCGGCATAGGGACTGGTGCTGTACTACAACAACAAGAGCACCTGATTGCCTTCTTCAGTCGTAAACTTGCTGATCATCATTTAAAATTGCCAGCCTATGAGCACGAATTGATCGGGTTAGCTAGAGCAGTCCAACAATGGCGTCCGTACTTATGGGGAAGGTCATTCGTCGTCAAAACTGATCACTATAGCCTCAAGTACTTGTTAGAGCAGTGTCTTACCACTTCTCCCCAACAACATTGGATTAGCAAGCTGCTTGGGTTTGATTTTCGGGTCGATTACAAGGCAGGATCTTTAAATCGCGTCGTGGATGCATTGTCTAGGCGTGACGAGGACACCATGCTTCTTTGGGGGATTTCGCGACCCCGAGTCACCTTATTAGACGACATCAAGAAGGTGGTGCTACAATCAACGGAGTGGACGACCCTTGTTCAGCAAATTTAGACCGGAACTGTCGACCCCAATTGGTCCCTTCAAGACGGGCTTGTGATGTATAAAGGTCGGGTGCATCTTCCAGCCGATTCTCCTCTAATTCCCTCCATCATCTCCGGTATTCATAACTCCACCCATGAAGGCATTCAAAAGACACTGTATCGCGTCCAAGCAGATTTCCATTGGCAAGGTATGAAGGCTTCTATTAGGGACTTTATCCAAAATTGCTCTACTTGTCAACAACACAAATGGGAAAATCTGCATCCTGCTGGCCTTCTTCAGCCCCTTTCGATCCCAGCACAGATATGGGCCGATATCTCCATGGATTTCATAGAGGGACTACCCAAGGTTGGGGGAAAATCGGTTCTTTACGTGGTGGTGGACCGCTTCTCTAAGTATGCCCATTTCATTCCTCTGTCACATCCGTACAGTGCTACTTCTGTCGCCCATGTCTTTTTCACCCACATTTTCCGTTTACACAGGTTACTGGAATCGATTGTCTGCGACAGGGACCCGGTTTTTACTAGTACCTTTTGGAGGGAATTGTTTTGGTTACATGGTACCACTTTATCTCTTTCTTCCGCTTATCATCCTCAATCAGATGCTCAAACTGAGGTGGTGAACCAAACGATCGAAATGTATCTTTGTTGTTTTGTTGGGGATCAACCGCGATGGTGGGTTGATTGGCCTCCTTGCCTAGTACTGCTATAACATTGCCTATCATTCTTCCCTAGGAATGACACCTTTCCGGGTCGTCTATGGCCTTGAACCTCCTCGTTTGTTGTCCTATTAACCTGGTTTTACTCGTTTAGAGGAGATTGATCGTTCCCTACAAGAGCGAGATGCCCTTCTGGTTGAAGTTTCTCTTCGCTTATAGCAGGCACAACTACGCATGAAGCATGCCTATGACAAGCATCATTGGGAATTGTCATTTGAACCTGGGCAGTTTGTTTGGTTGAAGCTTCAGCCTTATCGACAGCGCTCCTTCAGCTGCAGGGCTGCTCCTAAATTAGCTCCTAAGTTTTATGGACCTTTCAAGGTTTTACGGCGAATTGGTACGGTTGCATACCAGCTGGAACTGCCAGAGCACAGTAGGCTCCATGATGTCTTCCACATTTCCTTGCTCAAGCCGTTTCTGGGTATCCCTCCTGACAGTGTTCCCCCCTTACCGCCCTTGAAGGACGGCAAACTCATTCCCCAACCTTGGACTATTGTTCGCTCCAGAATTAATCGAGGTGTTCTTGAAGTCCTGGTGGAATGGGCCAGCTTACCATTGGCCGAAGCTACCTGGATCCCTTTGACTGAGTTTCAAGACACATTTCCTAGATTCGAGCTTGAAGACAAGCTCTTAGTCCGGGAGGGGAGTAATGTTATGGACGCTTTTATTGGGAAACAGTATCGCCGCCGACAGAAGCAGTAAAGGGTGTTTTCATCTTATCTAATTCAGTTCTCATCTTATCTAATTCAGTGTTCTCATCTTAGTGTTTTCATCTTATCTAATTCAGTGTCTATCTTATCTGTTTTCAGTAGTATAGATCAGTAGGGAGTCTATGGATTAGTAGGGAGTCTTATCTGTTATTTGTTCTTATCTAAATTCAGTAGTATAGATCAGTAGGGAGTCCTCCTAAAAGTGGGATTCTTATCTTCTTGTAATCTCCTATTTAAAGGAGCTAATGATATTCAATAAAAGCATCGAATTTCTCAGTCAAGACAGAGTAGAGGAGAGTTGGTGATCTCTTGGACAATCACCATTAAGGCGCCAAGATAGGTACCTCAAGAAAAGGGAGGAACAAGGGGAAACAAGAGGTTTTCCCCGTTGACCGACCTGTGACGAGATCCTATTCGCGGGCCCTTAACATATTATGAGATGATAGTTTTTACTGCACTTTTTAGTTTGATATAAGTGCATTGATGATTGTTGGCGATGGAGTGAAAGAATGAAGCTGGAAATTGTAGTCATATGGGTAATTGGACGCAGAAATGCCATCACTTTAATTAGCAACCTCAGCTTGTTTAATTTTATGATATTTAGATGCACTCCCAACTGCCACATGTCCCATGTATACAGTGAGTGACTCAGAGTCACATATTGCTTAAAAGTCATTTACTTGCCCAAAAAAAAAAAAAATCTTAAAACTCTTTCTTAGGGGAGTGGATGAGAGGATAAAATGATCAGAGCACTTTGGGGCTAGAAAATACTTTTTTCTTGTTCCTTTATAGTTGGGTACTCGGCCCAGTGTGCACAACTGGGCATGCTTCGTTTCTGTGACCATAGAAAAAGGAGCAAATGTAAACAAAACAACAAACTTTCGTAGGAACAGACCTATGAAAAGATAAAAGAAACAATATTCCCTTGTCTTCTCTAGGCCAATCATTCGAATACGGTGGTTTCCTCTCATGGGTGTTACCTACTGTTCATTCTCTGACCTGGGAAAAGGATATTGCCTCGAGGCTTTGTTTGGTCTCTAGCACACTGCTACTGTCCAGTCAGCTTCCTTGTTTCCACCATCTTGATTTGCTTTTGGCCTTTTCCATCTCCTAGAAAAGGTTACGACTCCCCATACACGCAAATGTTGATCAACAAGGTAAATGTTGTTTTCCAAGTCAATTCATGAATAGGCCCTCAACAATGACTGCACTCCCTAAGAAGATTAATCACAACAATCAAAACTTATAAGCAAAAAGCAGTTTGTTATTTATATATTATCTTAATCTTTAGGCAGAAAGTTAATGCATGAAATCTGGGTTCTCAGATTGCAAAGTAGATTGTTCATGTTTCACAAAGCACACTTTTAGCCATAACTTTTCAATTTTCATTTTCTTTATTGTTCCTGACATGGCAGGAAATGCAATCGGCAGCAGTGTATTGAGAGAGTCTGGTAGGAGAAAGTGACTTGAGGAGCATATTCCAATTTTGCCAACACATACACTGAAAAGTTCCACGATTTTGAGCGTTCTTTTGGCTGGTTGGTTTAGCTTTCCTGGATAAGTTCATGTACAACTACAGGAATGCGGAAGAAGCCAGCAGTGTGGCTGACTTTGCATAATTCAATGGGTTTGTATTTTGTAAAGATAATGCTATGGAGAGTTAGACCATCTGATTTGATATAATCTTGATAGTTGAAAGAAAAAAAAAATCTACTTRCACTTACAGCAATCTACATAAATATCTTCATGACTTCATCTCACTTACAGTCATTTATAGACATACAGTTTCATTAGTAAGGAGGTTGTGAGCTCCTAATGGCTGAAACTGAAAATGGGTTTATTATAATGCATGCAAATATTGTATTATTTAATTATTTTATCCATTAAAATACAAAGTAATAAGTCATTCAGTTCAGCCATTATCAAATGGCCCCTTTGTCATCAACCTCAGCTATTTTTGTCTATAAAAATAACCACTTTCTTATCTCTATTATCATCTTCACTAAAATTGCCTTGGACACATGATATACTTCGTTACTAAATGGATCAAATAAATTCTCAGAAGGTTTAACCAGTTATACAACACTTTCATCATTCAAAGGATGAGCCAGCACAAATGACAAGTAGGGAAGATGTATCCCATGGCACTTGTAGGCAAGGTTCAAAATATTGATATGCCTGATACGCTGGTAGAGGCGTATTGGGCAGTATAGGTAGGTTTATTTATTTTTTATTTTTTATTTTTTTTAAATCTAGTTCAGAGGGACCAGTTTAAGGTCTATTCACCACCCTCTGAACCGGTCAAAACTCGGATACGGGCTGATATGTATCAACATTTTGAACCTTGCTTGTAGGGCGAGCTCTGTGGAGAATCCCATTCAAACTTATCCATACTCCCTCATTCGAAGTCTCCATGTTATCACCTATTCTGAAGATCAGCACTCCCCAATTATTAGTGCTCCATGTATTGCATATTCCAAAATCAGTACATAATAAGGTATAGTACGATACATACGATACCTTTGAACCTTGATAGATGTAAAAAATTCTAATGGTCCAAGCAAAATCCACTGTTTTTAATGCTATGTTGAATTCTGGCTTGTTGGATTGAAGATATAGAATCGTATACGTGAAACTAGAAATTGATGATCCTTTGTCAAAAATAAAAGAAAAATAAAAAAAAGGGAAAATTACTGAACAGTACTCTGAAATTTGGGGTTGTGTCAAATCAGTTCCCAAACTTTAAAATATGTCTTTGCCTAATAGGTCCTTATCTTAGCTGACTGTTAATCAATACCGTCACATGACATCATGTGTGCATTAAATAATTTTAAAATGGCAAAATTAATCTTTATAATATTTTTGACCATTTTACTCATTTTATCTGAGTGCTAGAAGAAGAAAATGGGAAGAAGGGATATAAAACTGGACACCGATCAAGGTACTACAGAGACACGTTTTATAGTTCGGAGACTGACTTGACACAACCCCCAAACTTGTGATCCTACCCCATCCTCTCATGGGTGTTGTAATTGTAATCCGAAAAACAAAGTTTGCACAGATTTGAGTGAGCATTATTTGAAAGACAGCTTTTCGGTAAAGAGGGTATCCAAATTCAATTAAGCTGTCTATGAAGATGGTACTTTGGGCACACCCCACTTGATAAAGGGAGTACACCTCTAATTTAAAGCCCAAGAGGCCAAGACCATAAAAGCATCTCTTCAATTTTTGACAAGAAAGGGGCTATCTTGCATTCAAAGGCATCTTCTCAATTTTTGATTGCACACCATTCTTGCATATTCTCTGTGGTACTTGAATTTGGAAATTATAGAGAGGCATAGTTGGTGATAAAAAGTAGCTTTTGTGCTAGGGTTGTATAATTGCACTGAGAATAGTGAAATTTTTGACATTTTCATAAACAATGTTGAATTTTATGTGTTCTTCTCTGTAATTGCATTATCTTTCTTTTTTTGTTTCTTGGTTTCTGGCCAGTTAATCAAAATGGATTGCTTTTGGGGGTTTTGGCAAATCAAAAAAAGAAAAAGGTGTTGTGCATTCCATCACTTGAAACTTAGATGGACCTCCGGGTTGAAAGGAGCAAGCAATGCAATATTCAATTCAATCCAAGTTCAAGTACTGATCGATTGGTTAAGAGTTTGTCTGAGATGAACTTAATGGTGCACATGTTAGGAATCCCAAGAAGCCAATTTGCCTCTAATTTTGTGCACACTAGAGAGAGAGAGATTTTCTGTATTAAATTCTTGGGAGTTGGGAAGTGGGATTGGTGAGAGATGAGCAAGGTTCACGTGTGTGGTTGGTGGGGTCCGTTTGGTTTTGGCTGAGAGCCTGAAACTAACAAAGAAAGCGTGTTTGTTAAAATTGATTGTTTATATGATTAGGAGGGCCTCAGCTCTACTGCTCTACTCTCTACTGGGTGGACAATCATTGGATTCTTTCTTCTATGATTCTCTTAATTACTTTTCTTTAATCTCTTTAGTCTTTCTCATTGTGTCAGTCTTTTCTTTGCTTTTCATGAGTGGTGAGGTCCCTGGCATCCAACTCTAGGCCACACCCCAAATCATACTTTGGACTTTTTAGGCTTCTCAAATAATGTGCCGCATATTCCAACCAAATCCCACACACCCACACAGATAAGGAAGTGTTTGGTATGTTTCCTCACAATCATTCTAGTGATGATCCTCAGAATCCACTGTGTTTGGATGTGCAGGAATCACCCATATGATACCCATCAACTGAGTTGGCATATTTCTCATCAAGATCCATATCTGATATGTGTATTCCTTCTTGTCATTACCTGACCCAAATAAATAGATGGGCAGGCATGGATCCAGATAGGATCCAAGTCCATATTTCCCATCTGGATGCAGATCCTGGATTTGGATGGATCCACTCCAGATTGGGCCCATCTGAAGACAAAGTCTGCATAATACTATAGTCATTTTGGCCCGGGCTTGTGATAAACAAAATAGAGGAGATCAAAAACATTCTCAGTAATAGGAGAAATTGATTTTTTTTTTTTCATAAACAGAGGTAGTTATGGGTGTGATTTACCCTATCTAAAGGGTGTAATCAAGTTGACTTGAGCAGAAATTTGGCATATCCTGACATACTCAACCTTACGGGTGTAAAACTTGCGAGTTTTTTAACCAAACTTTTTATCATGCTTTTCAAAACCGGACCGAACTGGATGGCCGGACCAGAATAATCGGGAACAGATTAGGTGAGCGGTTCCATTTTTCCTAAAAACCGGATTCCCCCCAAAACCGTTGATTTTGGTTAGCAAATCGCTGAACCGGGTAGTTAATTGTTCGAACCGTTTGAGCGGTTTTGGCCGTTTTCTATTTTTTTTAATTTTCTTGTCAGAACGGGACAAGCGTTCAGTTTGAATGGTAGGACCGTTCGACCTGGTAACCGGACCCTGACCGGTTCGGTCACCGGGTTGGTTTAAAAAACCATACTTTTTATTGTTCGAATTCGAGTTGAATAACTAATCAAACTTATACTGAAACTTAAATTCGAATTAAGCCTAATTTAACTCCATTACACCCTTATTCTAATTTATAACAAGGTTTTTAAAACTGAACTGGACAACAAACCGGTCAGGGGTCCGGTTCCTGGGTCCAGCCCGTTCTGACAAAAAATTAAAAAGAAGGTCGAAAACGTTAAATGGTTTGAATGGTTCAACCATCCGGGTCAGCAGTTTGCTGACCAAATCAACGTTTTTTGGCAAAATTCCGGTTTTGAGGAAAAACCGAACCAATCACCTGACCGGTTCCCAGTTTTTCTGGTCCAATCCGGTTTTAAAAACCATGATTTATAATCCTTTTTGTCAGGCCCATCTTATAAATATATTTCAACATGTTTATTCGGCTGGTTGGACCAGTGACCTAGTGACCAGATCCTATTAACCTAGAACCTGCTAGATTGCAAAAGAGAGGAAAAAACGTTGATCGGATCAACAACCCATTTACCCTAATGGTTGAACCAACGATACGTTCAACCCATTTGTTGGGTTACTGAAGTTTTTTAAATCGTTTTTATTGTTATGGTGTCATGGTCAGACTATTGACCTTGACCAAAACGGTTGAACCGGTGACTATCACCTAGAGGGAAAAGCGGTTCTACTTTGCTTGTCAGTTTTTGAAACACTGATATTATAAACCTATGTCGTTCGGGATTTTCAAATCTTGGGATTGCGATGATTATAAATCAATTATTAATTGGTTCCATATCATAGACCAGAAGACCAAAACCGTCCCAATATTATCGGAATAATCGGGTCTGACCCGATTATCATATACTTGAGATCTATAATTATTATAATAAAAAATGTTTTTATGTTGATAAAGCAAGTGCATGTTTTTAACTAAAATTATTTTATATATCAATGTTTCAAAATAGATTCGGAATTGGAATCGTTTTGGTCACTGGTTTATAAGTTAGTAGTTCGATCATTCGATTTTAATGGATGGTTCGTTTCAGATTAAAAAATAATTAAAAAACAGTAAAGAAAATGTTGTTTGAGTCGAACGGGTAGATGATTTGAATGCTAAGGTTTAGCTGTTTATTGAATAAATTGATGTCTTTTAGCCAAAAAATAGGTTAAGGGTATTGAAATGGAACTGGTTTCCTAAATGGTTCCCAAGTTATCGATAGATCCAATCCATTAATAGTCCTATCACTTTTTTATTTTATTTTATTTTTTATATCTAAATTTTAAACGATAATCAATGAATTCTAGCTTTAACCCTTCAACCCTAAACCCTAAAACAATTTTTTCACGTTGGTTTTAGATGTAGCTCTACTCCTCCTTAAATAGGTGGGACCAGCATTGGCTAATGACTTTTAATAATATAGCCCATACTGGTTCAACAGAATTACTTCTTTTTTTCTAAAACCGAGATGAAAATTTTGTTTATTTCCAACAGACTTTTTGGTATTTATGTATATATTTTTTGGCCACGTGAAGCGATAATAATGTGGACAATTAATCAAAACCATGCACATATACGATAGACTGATAAATGGGACCCTTGGGAGTTGACAATTAAGACAGTTTTTTTGTCTCCCAAAGGCTCATTTCGTACACCTATTAACTATTGGTCAGTGTTGAATCTTTTCGGTTTTCGAATATTACTTTACTTTGTCATGTTATGTTGGGGGTGAGTTCAATTTGCTCATGTGAACGAAGGAAATGATCGAGGTGATAAGGGTGGGTAAGGTTAAAAGTATCGACATGTATCGGCTCATATTGGTTACTGGTTTAAAGGGTAATTAGATTTTAAATCGGTCCCTTTGAATTGATTTCG